CACATAAAGTGGAGGAAGATGGGCACGGATGTTAGCCCAGGGCCAGTCTTCCTCACAACAAAAACAAAAACAAGAAGATAGAAAAACAATACAAAAAAAAAAAAAATCAAAGAAGCTAAGAGTTGGCATTTTTAAAAGATTAACAAATTGACAAACCATTAGCTAGATTAACTAAGAAAAAAAGAAAGACGACTCAGAAGCAGAAATCAAAGAAGGGACATCACAACTAATGCCACAGAAATAAAAAAGATGATAAGAGAATACTAGGAACAACTGCTTGCCAACAGACTGGATAACCTAGAAGAAATGGATAAATTCCTAAAAAGACACAACCTACCAAGACTGGATCATGAAGGAAAATATCTGAACAGATCCATAACTAGTAAAAAGACTGAATCAGTAATCAAAAACGTCCCAACAAAGAAAATCCCAGGACCAGATGGCTTCACCAGTGAATTCTACCAAACACCTAAAAAATTAACACCAACAGTCGTCAAACTCTTCCAAAACATAAAGAGAACACTCCCAAACTCATTTCATGAGTTCAGCATTACCTTAATACCAAGACATAGATACTACAAGAAAAGAAAACTACAGAACGATATACCTAGTGAAATTTGATGCAAAAATCCTCAACAAAATGCTAGCAAACTGAATTCAAAAGCACATTAAAAGGATCATACACCAAGACCAAATGGGATTTATAATACACCACAGTAACAGAAAGAAGGACAAAAACCACATCATCATCTCAATTGATGCAGAAAAAGCATTTGAAAAAATCCAACACTCTTTCATAATAAAAACACTCAATAAACTAGGACTAGAAGGAAATTATCTCAACATAATAAAGGCCATATATGAAGAGCCCACAGCTAACATCATATTTAATGGTGAAAGATTGAAAGCCTTTTGTCTATGATCAGGAACAAGACAAGAAGACCCCCCTCACCACTTTTTTTTTTTTTTTTTTGTGAGGAAGATCAGCCCTGAGCTAACATCCGTGCCCATCTTCCTCCACTTTATATGGGACACCACCACAGCATGGCTTGACAAGCCGTGTGTCCGTGCGGCCCCAGGATCCAAACCCTGGGCCGCCGCAGCAGAGCGCACGCACTTAACTGCTACACCACCAGGCCAGCCCCTCACCACTTCTATTCAACATAGAAGTCCTAGCCAGGCCAATTAAGCAAGGAAAAGAAATAAAAGGAATTCAAACAGGAAAAGAAGAAGTGAAATTATCTGTTCACAAATAATATGATCTTAAATGTAGAAAGAATAAAATACTTAAGAATAATTAAGGAGATGAAAGATTGCTGAAAACTACAAAACTTTACTGAAAGAAATTAAAGAAGACAGCCTGTGTTTGTGGATTGGAAGATTTAATATTGTTAAGATGGCAATATTACCCAAAGTGATCTAAACAGATGAATGTAATCCCTATCAAAAACCCAATGGCATTTTTTGCAGAAATAGACAAATCTATCCTAAAATTCATATGGAATTTGCAGGGACTCTGAACAGTCAAAACAATCTTGGAAAAGAAGAACAAAACTGGAGGTCTCACACTTCCTTATTTCGAAATATATTACAAAGCTACAATAATCAAAACAGTGTGGTACTAGCATAAAGATAGACATATAGGGGCTGGCCCAGTTGCATAGTGGTTAAGTTCGTGCACTCCGCTTCAGCCACCCAGGGTTCACAGGTTCAGATCCTGGGCACGGACCTACACACCACTTATCAAGCCATGCTGTGGCAGGCATCCCACATATAAAGTAGAGGAAGATGGGCACAGATATTAGCCCAGGGCCAATCTTCCTCAAGCAAAAAGAGGAGGATTGGCAACAGATGTTAGCTCAGGACTAATCTTTCTTACCAAAAAAAAATAATAAAATAAAGTAAAAAATAAATTAAAAAAAAAAAGATAAGACATATAGACCAATATAGAATAGAGAGCCCAGAAACAAATCCTTGCATATATGGACAAATGATCTTCGACAAGGTGCCAACACCACTCAATGGGGAAAGGACAGTCTCTTCAGCAAATTGTGTTGGCAAACTGGATATCCATATGCAAAAAAAATGACGTTGGACCCTTACCTTACACCATATACAAAAATTAACTCAAAATGAATTAGATCTAAAAATAAGACCCGAGGGGCTGGCCCCGTGGCTTAGCAGTTAAGTGCGCGCGCTCTGCTACTGGCGACCCAGTTTCGGATCCCGGGCACGCACAGACGCACCGCTTCTCCGGCCATGCTGAGGCTGCGTCCCACATACAACAACTAGAAGGATGAGGCAACTATGACATACAACTATCTACTGGGGCTTTGGGGAAAAAAAAAAAGGAGGAGGATTGGCAATAGATGTTAG